AGGTGCTACAATTAGGTGCTCTCATTTATCTTCAGATTCTGACCTCAGTGGGACGATCGAGTCCCATTAACCTGTTGATCAGATAAAAGACTTACTAAAATAGTTTTATGGGGACTCTTTAGGGTTTCCTCATGTTCCCTGGAGCCATGTTGAGAAGGTGGAAATTTTAATTATTCATGTTGTGTGGCTGCTTGAGACCATTTTTTTCTTAATGAGCACGATGCCTCCAAAAGGGTAAAATAGTTTGTTCACAGCGCTTTTTCTCCAGTATTTCATCTGAGCTGAGCTACCTTGTGGAAGAGAAAGCCAAAGCAGCTGAAATCACGAGTCTTCAATTAGGCAAGCCCATTTTTTTAAAACTCCGTTTTAAGAGCTAAGGTGCATTGAGCCGTCATAGTGTGGCCAGTCCCGGGCTGTGTTGGATGCGGTTCTCCTCTTTTGTGCTTCCTGGCAACACGTTCACTATTTTACATGATCATCTGGGATGTAGAAGCAAAAAATGCCACTGAGCAAGCTGGGAAAATAGGATTCGAACCAAATCGGCTCCTACTGGGAGCCAGGAGACAGAGCCCGAGCACTTAGTTCTCTGTGGGAGCTGCTCTCTGGGGCAAGACCTGGAATCTGGCGTGTGCATTGGGAAGTTTTCTGTGTCCTGCGTGGAAGATCACTGCCTGATTCCCAACAGTGGTTTCACACTCGTTCGTGCAGTGAATAAATGGAACGAAGGGACGCTGCTGGATCTAGGCTTCCTCTGGAAGCCACGTTCACACCTGTAGAAGGAAGGGGCCAGGTTTCTGCATTTCCAAGGTGTGTCCTTTCCGCTGACAAAAGTCTGAAGTTCTTCTTTTTGATAAGCCCCCTCTGTTGTCCGCAGTTAAAATAACAAAGTGCTCTTGGAATGGCTTATTTCCTGTATTTGTTTCAGTCAGGGAACAATGTGAGAAAGCTTTGGGAAGAACACATTTCATTTATAAGCTCTCCTGCAGCCCACCGTCGGTAATTCGAAACTATCATCCTGGACGAATTGGTATCATTACACCTTGAGAACCTGACTGAAAAGTCATATTTGTGGACCTCTGACTCCCGATGTACCGCGCAGAAAAAAAAAAAAAAAAAAAAAAGAAATAATACACCAGCATTTGTTCTCACGGGAGATTTCCGTTCAGAATTTTTAGGAGAGAAATAGGTTAGACCTTCCTGGGATCAATCTTATGAAAACTTAAACAGTTAATGGGCTTGAGGCCTTATAAATGAGATTCTGACATAAGACCTAAACTGTATGGGATCGAGAGTGCTTTTTTTCCCAAGGAGGAAATAACTCAAAGGAAATCAGAAACCTGACAGTTTCTGCACAGATTCGGCCAAATATTCCACAGTTTGTGCCTAACGGCCTCAGCTAGATTCCCTTGTATCAATCCCAGCCTGGCTGTACGGGGAACGTGTGATCAAAAAGAAGAAGTCATGACACTAGGCAAAGAATGAGAAAAATTGAGGGGGACTAAGTGAGTATCTTACCATGGTCATTTGGAGTGCCGGGATTTGGAGGAAATCCCCAGGGCGGGTGGCGAGCTGAGATGGGGAAAGACGTAACATGCATCTCAGTAGAAGGAGTCTGGGTAGCAAGTGCACCTGCAGGCTCATCTGGAGATGGAAAGAGCCGGCCGGGGAATTGGTAGGCAGGGGCTGCAGCTGGCTTGAACAAAGAAGACGGGTCTCCAGGAGGCTCTGAGGGCTTGGCTGCTCAGCCATGCCCCAGCCTGTTCCCTGATCTGTTTACTGTTTCCATAGCTCGGCCTTTTCCAGAACATCATTTGGTTGGAATCATATAGGAACTACCTTTTCAGATTGGCTTCTCCCACTTGACAACATGCATCTCAAGTTCCCCCCATGTCTTTTCACGGCTGGATGGCTCGTTTCTCATTAGTGTGGATAACATTCCATTATCTGGTGTGTTAATACCTCATCCCGTCACCTCCTGAAGGGACGCCTTGGTTGTTTCCAAGGTTGTGGCAATCATCAATAAAACTGCCGTAGATATTTGCGTGCAGGTCTTGTGTCCACAAAAGTTATCGTGGATGGCACGTTAAAAAAAAAATTTCTTCTGAATAAATGAAAGGTGAATTATATTTGAAGTGAAGGTGCACGGTTGCACACCCTATTGCAAAGTACTAATTACAACACAAGGGAGTAAAACCTTCAATCGTCTGCTAACTGCTTAGTCTGTATCATTTTACTTAGAACTTGTATGAGTCAAAAGGGCATTTTTTCCTTCAAAGTATAAGTGCGGGTTATATCGTCTTATTTCTTCTCCCTATTTCAACTCATTAAGCTAATTACCATACTCAAAATGATACAGCTGAAATTAGTGTTAGAGCCAAATATCCCCAAGCACACAGGTGATTTGCTTTGCTGTACCGAGTAACACCACAATCAGTGTCTGCCTGATAATGATTTATCATGGGAGACAAATCTAAAATGGCCCTCATGCATCTTTTTCCTTGGTTCTGAGTATGACATTTATGTATATGGTGTGGCTTCTTGGAATGTTTATTATATGAGTTAAAAAATTGAGAACGATTGAACATACCATAGCCGGTGGCATTTGCAATCAAATAGCAAAAATATGTCTTGTAACAAATGACTTGGGTTTTGCTTTTGGTCCGGAAATCATCTGTGCCACCTCCATGGAGGGTTGAGTCTGCAGCCCAACTCCCCCTTTTCTGGACCACATTGGTGAAGTTGCAGCCCCAAAGTAGAGGCCCTGTCCCAACTGGGACGTGACCTACGTGCTTGGTAGGATGTTCCCATATCCACGTATCATTCCTGCTGCAAGGGGTACCTGGCATCCTTGTAAATTGTCAGTTGCTGGGGTTATCCTGCAGTAATGAGGTGGGTTCCCACCCCACACCAAGTCGGGTTCCCGTGTCCAAACTAATGATGCCACACCTACAGCAAGAGTCTGCAAAATGTGTATTACTCACATAATGAGGCTTTCTGAGGGGGAGTACAGTAGCTCCCAGGCTGGTCTGAAAATAGCTTGCGGGCAGCACGAAAGGAGACTGACCTTTCATGGTGGGAGGAGGCAGGAATGGGGTGGAGCATTCAGGGGGAAGCTGCTATAGCTTGAATCTCCCTCCCACAGGCGCTGCAGGGGGCAGCACCCAGGCTTTCTTATTAGCTTGTCGGGCACAAGTCAGTTGAGGACTGGTGAGGCTTGAGAACTCTTAGCAGTCCAACATGAAAAGCAGAGTCAGACCCTAGCACCTCAACCAGAGTGTAACTGTACACCTTAGCTGATGAAATTAAACCAGCGGCATATGAGTATATGGGTCTCTGTGGAGATCACGAATTGTATTTTTTTCTGGATTGACCGTAATTTACTTCTGATCTGACAGCTGACAACAGCTTCCCAATCAGACAGTCTATATTTCAACCTCTTCTGTCTTCAACCGACTTCTACTTTTTTTTTCTAGTGGAAAATTCAGGCATAAATCGAAGTAGACAGAAAAGCACCATAAAATTGCACTTGTCATTGATGTGCAATTACCAGCCACGAACTCATGCCCAGTCTTGTTTGGTCTGTACCCCCATCCTCTCTTTCTTTCTTCCTGTACTAATTTGAAGACAAGCGGTTATTGTATGGTTTTGTTCAGGAATATTTCAGTGCATATCTCTAGTCCCCCCACCCCATGTCTTGTTTACTCCTCTGTGATTCTCATTGAGTCTGTCCACCTAACTGTATCGGATTTGAGAGCCTGGCGTTTGGAATAACGTTTAACCCTTACTTCCTGGGCCTTCAACTTCCTAACTATGGGAGTTTGAGCAGGTGCCCATTCTTACACTGTTGCTCCCAGCTGAGAAACAAAGCCTACACTGTTTACTCATGGGGTTCCGTGTGGTCTAAATAAGAGAGTGTGTAATAAACTCCTTTGCAGGCAGAGTGCTCAGTAGACGGTACCTGTTACTCTTACTGCTTTTGTTGAAACTGAGGTTGTGGGGCAGCCTGGGTGGCTCAGCTGTTAACACGTCTGCCTTCACCAGGGTGTGATCCTGGAGACCCGGGATCGAGTCCCACGTCAGGCTTCCTGCATGGAGCCTGCTTCTCCCTCTGCCTGTGTCTCTGCCCCTCTCTCTCTCTCTCTGTCTCTCTCTCTCTGTGTATGTGTCTCTCATGAGTAAATAAATAAAAAATCTTTAAAAAAAGCTTGGGATTATGTTAAAATGTTGCTATGTGGGGTGGTACCCAGTGTTGAGTATGGGGAATATGATGAGGGCAAGAAAAAGGAAATGATAATGAATATTGTTATTCAGAACAGGTAGCTCTACTATATCTGTTAGTATCTTCTATAAGTATTAAAAGAGGGCATTCACTGTAAAATATTTGTAGACATGTTCACATAAGAACAGCGAGGGTGCGTAGGTGGCACAGTTGGTTAAGCATCTGACTCTTGGTTTTGGCTCAGGTTGTGATCTCAGGTGCCGCATCAGGCTCTCTGCTCAGCATGGACTCTGCTGGGATTTTCTCTCTCCCTGTCCCCACCACCTGCTTGTGCTCTCTCTCTCTCTAATAAATACATGAATCTTTTTTCTTTTTTAAATAACATTGATGGTTTGGTGTTTTGCACTGAATAAGAGAAACTGGTAGGCTTCTCTATATCCTCAGGACCATAGGGCCTTCCCTCTAAATTGCTCATGATATATGGGCCTGATTCTTCCAGAATGCCTTCTCGTGTCTCTGTACAGAATCACTACATGATGCCTAGAGTTTCAAAGGATGCTTGTAGATGACACTTGGTTCAATGACTAAACCTTCTGATTTAGGTTTAAAGGTTTAAAGGCTTTCTGATTACATTGCATCCCCTGTTGGGATCAGTGTGGGGAAAGCTGTGACATACGAGACCATTTCTTTCCTATCTTACGACAAGTCGAGGAGAGCAAATGATCATCCTTTCTTTTGTAAATATGGACCTATATTAAAATTGAACATTTCTCCCCTTCAGGGCAGATCCTGAACGTCCTAGATGAGTTGAAACTGGCTAATAACACCCTTGTCTACTTCACCTCGGATCAAGGAGCGCACGTAGAAGAGGTGACCACCAAAGGAGAAATTCATGGAGGAAGTAACGGAATCTATAAAGGTGAGGAATCTGTGAATCAGGGAAATGCTGACATTAGTAAGCTCTGGCCTCCCAGCTCACCCGTTGGTCACCTTGGCCTTGACCCTTGAGTTTTGATGTTGTCCTCCTACCACTTTCTGATATATAAGACATCACTGTGCCCCAGGCATTGAGCAGGGAATGACCATGTTGCCATTTCTGTTAGGTTCCCAAGGAAATTAAAAGCATGCATTCTATGTCCAGACATTAGAATAAGGCCATTTTCACCCAGTGTAAGTGCAACCTCACATTGGATAGCTGGTTAAAACAGTAAATCCACATGTATTAGTTTCTTGTTGCTGCTATAATAAAATAACACCAACTTCTGCTTCAATCAACACAGTTTGTTAACATATTATTCTGGAGGTCTAAACTCTGAGAAGGGTCTCACTGGTCTAAAACCAGGGTGACACCAGAGCTACATCCTCCTGCAGGCTATGGGGAAGCATTGGTTTCCTTGTCTTTCCAGCTTCTGGAGGCCACCTGCATTCTTTGACTAATGACCTCTTCTTGCATCTTTAAAGCCAACAGTGCAAACTCTCCAGACCTCCCTCTGTCTCTCTGACCTCTGTTTCTGTAACCCTGTGTCCTCCACTCACTCTAACATATGCCTCCCCAAGGACTACTATGATTTTATCTGCCCCACCCAGATTTGCCCATTTCAGAGCTGTTAATCCCGTGTGCATAGTCCCATAGACACTGGTTCTCGGGGATGAGGATGTGCACATCTTTGGGAGGCTGTTATTCCGCCTACCTCAGTGTGCAGCAGTGTTTTTGGCTCATGCTTCATTCCTGACACAGCCTCAGCAAAGCCACCACCATGACCAATCAGCCTAGTCAATGAGGATATTAGATGATCAAAAGTAGATCAGATCTGGCTACTGACCGCTGGTTGCTTGTAGCACGTACACAGTGTGAATACAAGACATACGTAACAACTAATCATGATAGAATGTGGCCCATTTCAGAGACTTAGATGAGAGGGCCAAAGGGGATATCAGTGCTAAGGGTTAGGCCACCCACCTAAATGTGTGGTGGGCGTGGGTTTTTGCACCATGGGGCAGGAGAAGTGGAGGTGACCATCGTGAACCATGGCGTCCCAGCTGGTGGGAGCCACCTGCATAAGGCAACGATAGGCATAAAACACAGAAAAGCAGGTGACTCTAAAATTTTCCTAGCATAAGGTGATAAAGTGCTTTATTGCCCCTTTATAGTCTCTCATATGGGTGTTTCAGAGATTCCCAGGGATGCAGGGAATCCGACCTTATCTCCAAATATATGAAAGGATAATAAATGGTATATTTCCATCTGTTAACTGGTTTAGAAATATTGATTGGGGTGTGTATCGAGCCCTGGGCCTGAGGCAAAAATAAATACAAAATATGGTCTCATAAATATACGATAAATATAAAACTCAAGGTCAACCAGTGGGTGGGTGGGTGGGTGAGTGAGTGGGTGGGAGCAGAAGCCTAGACCACGCAATTTAATATTTACAGGCACAAGACATAGTGATGCATACAGCAAGGAGAGCCCCTGGAGGCCCCGGGAGCCCCGGAAATGTTTCCAAAGTGGGCACAGCTGGAAGCAGGCAGCCACAGTGCGTGCTTGCTCTCCTGCACTGCCTCTAGCTCTTTATGCTCTGCCAGTGCTCCCCCACGTTAGTGCTGGGACTGAGAAGCAGCACGTGGGTCACACCGTGTCACAGAGCAGCAGAGCCAAGAGGGCAGCGCGTTCTCTATCCCGAGGGTAGCATAGCTTGGACCTCGGTTTACACCTTCGTACGCGTGTCTGCTTGCTCGTAACTTCTGGGCACCTTGGGGCAGGGACCTTTCTTACCCTTTTGGCTCCCCAGAAGCTAGGACAGAAGGGTTCCTGGCCACGGCGGCCCGGATGACCCTACAGGATGTGCTACCTCGCGGGGTGAGCACGCGAATGCTGTTTGTCGCGGGTCATGCGAAGGAACCAGCGTGGGTCACCTGCGCGGGGTTAACCGTCCCGGGCAGCCGCCCTGTCGGCCAGCCCTCCCTCTGCTTACCACCTTATTTTAGCCTAGGGAGAAAACTTACAGTCCCGTATAGTAAGATTAGTTGTATCCGCTGTATTTCAGGGAGGTTATGGCCTGTGCGGAGAGAGCTGTTTTTATTTTATTGTAGAGATGACAACGTCTCTAAAGACGGAGTTACAGGTTGCATTGCATGCACGCGGTCACCTTTTCATTTATTCTTCTGCTGGAGGCCTGTGACGTTCCCAAGTAGGTCAGCAGCTGCCGACCAGACACGTTCGTAAATCACAGTAACGGAAGCGGTTACAAAGCGATACGTTATTTAAGAAAGTCACACCTATGACTGCTGCGGGGCCTCGTTCGGGGAGATGACCAGATGACCGCCTGCTGAGGGATCTCGGGATGCCTTATGAGCAAGAGGAGGAGGTGCTGTTAGCATTTTGCCTCGACAGTGGACTCTCGAAGATATCAGCGGTGTGGGTCAGAAAGAGCGTGTCAAAGGTCCCAAACGATGGTCGCAAACCAAGGTCATCCTACAGTCCCAGCAGCATGTCAGGAGCCACTGTTGTGATTTTCTTTTTTAAAAGAAACATATTGGATGTGTTAGCAATATTTCACTATTTTGCTTGAGTGCTAGAAATACCACCAGTGTGTGACACTGTATTAATATCTCGGCCGCTACTCTGTTGCAAAGCATTATCCCTTTGTCAGATTTAGTTGAAATCAGGCTCACAGTGCAGCATCGTTAAAATGCGCTGCCCCTAAAGAAAGATGCGGCTTCCTTCTAGCGGCAGGAAATGACCCAAGACTCTTCTCAATGTCACATCTCGTTTTGTAAAGCTGCAGACTCCCAGCACACTGGCACATAGAGGAATCACGCTGTTTAAACTCCCTGATCAAAAAGAGCATCTTTTTCTGAGCAGTTAATGATTTTTACTCTCCATCAAAACCTCTCGAAAAGACGTGTCACGTCTAAGCTGGTGTTAGTGCCGTGTCACCCAGTCAAATCTGCTTCCCTAATGAAATCTGCGGGTGAATTTGATAGAATGGCTACAGTTAAATCACCCTTATCCGGGACTCCACACGATCTTCCTTTTAATCACAGGGACAGAAGTTCATTTGAAAAAAAAACAAGAATTTAAGATTACAGGGGTGAGGGAATAGTGACACCATTAATACCGTCTCTCATTTAAAAAAAAAAAGGAAATGTGTTTGCAGCATGAATTTCTTGTTTAGATCTAGAGGTGGGTAAACTGTGCCGGTCAAAAGGCTGTTGCATAAAAGGAAATGGAGACATAGAAGTAGGGTCCGGCGTGGACTTTGAATATGACTCTAGTGAATTTGTAGCAATCTTGGCAGTGTCTTCATCCTCACGGCTCCTGAAATACTTACTTCTGAGAACCTCCTAAATCAATTTTCGTTCCACTGACCACATGTCAACCTAATACAACTAGTCTACCAAGGAATAATCCGTGTTCGCACATAAAAATTCAAGAAGCATGGGCTCCATGAGCGTGTTTAGTTAACCTGACAGTGTTCCCATACTGAGGTATTAGGATTTTCACCAAGAGCAAGATAAATAAATGAACAACAAAATACCATAACGTTTACATTGGCCTGTGACCGCTTATAGCTGTTAAATGTAAAAATTTCACCAGGGCTGTTAAAATATTGAAACTGTGCACGTTGCTAATTTGAGAGTGGGGATTAGGCATCAGTGCTTTAGGGGAACAGAGGGTTTAGGGTCTCCGTGCGATCCTCAGCTGTCTCCAGGAAGCACAGACTGTGGCTCTCAGCTTCTGTGACTGGACCCCGGGCAGGTGTCGGGTCTGCTCACATGAGACAGGAGGAGGAGTCCTGAAAAGGCCGTCTTCATTCTACACCCCCACCCGGATCAAGGCAGTTTAACCGGAGCTCAAAGCAATAGTCCTACAAATTGTGGTTCTCGTGTGGAAGCTGCAACTGGCCCCGCTCAACCTCAGCTGATGTCTGAGTCAAGGTTTGAAGCCCTTGGGGTGCTTCTTGCAGAGATAGGTGTAAGCAAAGTCATGGAAGCTTCTTCTCAACCTGCCAGTTCTGGCTCTTTTTCCTTCTTTGACCTGCCTCTCAAAGGTGGGGACCTCTGGGGCTCTGTCCTGCACCCCCTTCTTTACCTATACATACACCCTACGTGATCGCATCCAATCCCACAACCTCAGGCAGCATTTGAGTGCTGGTAACATGCACAGCCAGCCTCGACCCTGGCTGCGAACCCCAGACTCCTCCATCCAGCTGGCCGCATGATGCGGGATATCTAGGTAGATCTATCCTAATGAACGATCCATGGAAGAGATCATTTTCCCCAAGACCACATGTCTCATGGACTAACCGATCTCATTGATGTGCACCAGTCTTCACTCAGGGATTGAACCCCCAAAGCTGAGTTCTTTGAGCCCCCAAAGCCTCTTTCTTTGACCTGCCCTGGATCTTCTATTCCAACAGCATGTCCTATCAACCTTTCCTTCTGAGCATACCTGAAATTGACCCACTTGTCTCATCTCCAGCCATTACAGCCTCCTCTAGGCCAGCATCACCTCCAAGTCATCTCCCCAGTGGGTTTCCAGGTGGTCTTCCAGGTGATCCTTCTTTATTGTCAAGCCGTTCTCCGCCCAGGCACCTGGATGAGCTTAATAATCGCACGCTCACTGTACTGTATTGAGGTTCCCAGAGCTGCCACAAGATACATGCCTTACAAACAACAGAGGGTTATTCCCTCTCTCACTTCCGGAGAGCAGAAGTCCTAAACCAAGGGGTCAGCAGGACCGTGCTCCTTCTGAAGATCTTCCCGGAGGATCTTTCCTTGCCTCCTGGGGGTCGTTAGCAATCCTTGGCTTTCTTTATCCTACAAACGCATCACCCCAATCTCTGCCTCCTCTGTCTTCACAAGCCTTTTCTTCCTTTCTTAAAACACTCTGCTATATTCCCATCCACTGAGAATAAA